TTTTTTTTTTTCTTTGTAGGGAAAATATTAGAGATTTCTCTGGAAATTACCACCTGCAGCTAATTCCAGCCAAGGGTTTTTAATGAAAGCTTTGTCTGAAACTGAAGCGCAATTGGCCCTTCAGACGTGGTTCTGGAGAAGTGTTATTGTTTGTTGCTTCAGGCATCGAACAGCTTTGCTGGTGATTGTATAGAAAGGAAAGACTGTGCTGTATAAAAATTAAATAAACTGCTGCGAATTAATTGGAATTCTCTTCACACAGTGCAGGCGCGAATCACAGTGTCTAGGGAGGGATCTCTAGTCAGACAGACACTCTGTGTCGAGCCAGACTACCTGACTGTTCAGGTCCAGAACAGCAAGTCCTCCCTTGTCCACTGATCTAGCCCCTGTGGCTCCAAGTGTCCACCCGGACTAGTAATCTCTGCCTTCTGGTGCTGGGAGCACCCATTGATGGCAAAACATCAGTTCTGCTGTGTTTGAAACAATGTGGGCTTTAGAACTAAATTACCAATGAGTCCTGTTTTCTTTTTAAAAGTTGCTTATGAAATTGGCAAATATAAACAACATATTAATACTGCTTTGGTAGTATTCATCCTAGAAGAGTACCATGAAATGCTCCTTCAGGAACAAACTAATAAATTGTATGTATTATGTCACTTTGTATCTCTAGAAATCTTTTATGCTAAAGTCTGTTTATCTAATATTAGTTCTGCCACACTACTTTTCTTTGGATTAATATTTATGTAACTTACCACTGTAGATTCCCTTATTTTTGTTCTTTTGATGTACTTGGAGTTTATCTGCATCTTATAAGAAGACATGTATCCAATATATGGTTGGATTGTGTTTTTAAATCCAGTCTTATAATCTGTGTCTTTAAATAAAAGCTACTGCCATCAAGCTGATTCCGACTCACAGCAACCCTAGAGGACAGAGCAGAATGCTCGTTTGGGTTTCAGAGACTGAATCATATGGGAACAGATAGCATCTTTCTTTGGAGGAGCAGCTGGTGGG